GGTTTTTAGTAGGTATTTCTCTTCCATTCTATCCAACACATGAGTAGTGCTACAGACAATGTCTGCGCACAGCTTCTTTGGTGAGTAATTGGGTTACAACTACATCTTCATGGGGAATTTAAATGAGTTTATTATATACTCAAACCTAAACTGAAGTGAGATGTTGTCTAGAAGACGGACTACGAAAGCTGCTCAATTAATTCATCAAGCAGCTCAGAGAGCATAACTAATAATTCAATATCATTCACTTGGGCTACAAATCTTCTCTATTATTTCAATGTTTAATCTTAGAAATCATTTAGAATATTTCATTCTTTTTTTTATCCATCACACCATTCAAGGACGAATATTGTGTTTAGGTAGTGTTGGATTAGAAGACGGAGATTATTTGAAAAATGTGTGACGTGATTTATTTGCGCCATTCACGTTTCGAACAATCTGATCCGCCAGACATTTACTTGTCAAGTCGGTATATATATGCAAAACATTAAGGACACTTAAATTAAACAAAGTGACAAAAAACGGATTTAAGAATAATAATAATATTAATAATTAACACTACGTTTAGTTATCTAATCTGATAAGGATTATCAATGTAGGTTAAGATTAATGATAAACTAGTTTTGAACACACAGGCGATTAGGGTGTGTTTAAGTTTACGAATAGCTATAGCCTCAGCATATTTCACTAAGCGCCCTTGACCAACTTTATAGATGACCTGAAAGGCTGAGTTAACATCAGTCTTATGGTTCATGTCAATTAGATGTTTAGCTAAAGACGAAGTTGGTAGTCAGCCACCTCGATTATTGATTTTCCACAATTCATTTGTCTTTCTAATCAGTTCAAGATATACTCAGTGTTCCACTCTCACATGCAAAGCACGATTACTCACGTAAACTGGTAAATAGTGTGGAATGTGACATATTCACTTGTGCAATTTTGAGGACTGCAATGGAACATAATTTTGACTTCTTCGATAAATACAAGCCGGATCGCATGATAGGTTCTACGGATGACCAAATTTAACCTTTGTCTCAAAATCCTACTTATATGATGTATATGATAATTTCTCATCAGCTCAGCTGCTTACAGCCTAAATAAATTAATAATAATTTCACGTGCAGAAATGTTTCAACATACTTGTACACTTTAAATGTCAGTTGACAGAAGGTTTTGCAATTGGTGAGCATGTAGCGAAAAGCCGACATCTCAAGAGAGCAAATGCTTATAATAGTCCCATTATCAAGCATCTCGTTGATACGGATCACGAGCTGAAAATCGCGAATCCCTTAAAATAAATATTATTGAAAGGAAAAGCTCAACTTTCCTCAAGTTTGTGGAATAAATTTCTTTCATACGCTTGTAACCGGATTTTTGTGTTCAGAAAGAAGCAGTTATCAATCTTTCCTTGCCCTGCTGCATGATGACTGGATGTCTTTATTCTCTTTTTCATTTGATTACGCATTCTTTGGCTTTAATCTCCCTCCCCTCCCCGGCTTTGACATGGTGTAATTTTGGTTGTCTCTTTTGTTTCTATGATTTGAGTTGAACTTAGTACATTGTTACCTAATTTATTAGTCACTCATCATCTTACGCATCTCTCATCTTTATTACACAACTCCTTTACCATTGTATGCATACATTGGTTTTGTTTAAACTTGAACTCCCGTGAAAAAACTATTTAAGCGTTATTTTCTGACCACTGTTCACTAATTACAGAACATCCTGTCAATTGACATCATGTGAAATTCGCAAGTATGTTAAAACCTTCTGAACATAAATCTCATAATTTATTTAGGCTGTAAGCTGCTGAACTGATGAGAAGCTAACGAAATAATCAATGATGGTAGCATCTTCTTTTCTGCACAAACCAGTGTTGTTGTTCTTGCTTTATTCAAACTTTCATTATTCCTGTGAAAAGAATATACAACAGAATGTTGTATATTGACGAAGTTGCTTGTCTTGCATCCAACCTTTCTTCTTCGTTGAGCCTACTTTTAGCCTGTATAGTAGGTAAGGTTTAGAAGCACATTGACCTGGGGATGAACTCACACCTCACGTCAATGACTGTTGAGCCTTCTATCACTGAGTCAACGATGTTCAGACATTATTATGGACCCAAATAATGTTTCTTCAATGAATCAATTGTATCTGGTGCTAATGTCAACGACCCGTAGATAAATATTTCTCTCGTTAATTAGTTTTCTGAAGTGTGATGTGATTGGTTACAGGTTTGACCACGAGATCAAGTCAGTTAGAGAATCATAGGAGAACCACAGACCAGTGGACAGCTATTTTGTTCTAGTTGGAGACTGCACACCAATAAAATCTCACTAGAGTTAGAAGCAAAGACCTTCCGTTAACAAGTCCATCTCGCAGACAATTTAGCCCTGGAACTCCATCCAACGGTGCATGAATTCCACATTCTACCAACTGTGACCATACGTATAAAACAATCGAATCCCTGCAAACCAACGATCGATAATTGATCTGATGCTCACCAGTGACTGGCTGTATACAAAAAATTACCCGGTGATCTAACGAGAACTAGCAATCAACGGAGTCTACCAAGTCAGGTTGGAGAACAGTTAATCGTGTATAGTAATGACTGGTTGTTGATGTATATAAGCATAAAGCAAATTGACATAACTTGGAATTCCTGTTGACCTGTTAACTGAACAGACTGAACATTTACGTGAAATCAATCAACAATGAGATCACAACTGGATCAAAACCAAACGATAATTACTGCCCTTTGTACAGGAGATAACACTCGTGGCCAAAATGGTCTAGTGCATAACACTCAAGCAGAGTGTTTCGTCCAACTCTAAGAGTATAACTCCATCAAACACTCACTAGAGAATGCAGGTACATCCACTCACTGAACAGACATAAAGGTGTGTTTGAATATTTGATAAACTATGCTGTGTAGATGAAAAATGACATGCCTGCAATGCTGTCAGTCAAAGTGTAGCAATCAATAGTTAATACACCTGTCCAACAGGATATTATACCACCTGTGTAATCCAAATCATTCACTTTATCTCTGTGTGGTAGGTTCATCAATAACGTTGATAGTAGATCAATGATAACAAGAATACCATGATTGGTTGGAGGATTTCATCATGAGCTGACATCAGTTAGAGAGACACTGAAAAACCTGAGAGCACTGGACAGCCAGCTGTTTCTGTTGTTCTAGTTTTAGACTCTTCGGCAGTACGCACCCTACCGCCAGTGTTATAAGCCACGACCCTCTGGTTACAAGGCGACATCGTAGACCATCAAACTACTTTGACCCGCCAGTTCATTATCCCATTAATTACAGCTTCTACCGATTTATGATATCGCGCCTTCACTAGCCAATGTCTTTGGCGAGTATTTGTCCTCTCCTTCGACCTTCTGTACCTCACTGGTCACGGCTTCCCCTACAAACCCAGGTAATAACCTACCTGAGTTGGGCCAGTTGCTAGTTATCATCTCATTGTTATTCAAATATTGGTTTGCAGAGATCTGATTGATTCGTAACAGGATTTTGCCATGAGCTGTCATCGCCGACGACTTTGGCTGGTGATCGAGCCACATCGTGAATTGGCAGAAGTTGGAACACATGAGGCATCGGATAGGATCTCAGTGGCTCAATGGTCTAGGAGCTAGCTAGCCTTCTATCCGGAAGTTTCTGTGTTTGATCTCTTATGGGTGCCTACTGATGAAGAGTCCCAAACTGGTACAACAGAATCACTGTCCAGAACTCCCAGGTTTCTCAAACCGGTGTCAGCTCATGATGAAATCCTGTAACCAATCAATCAAATACCTACAAACCGATACTTGAAGGGTATTGCGAGTTGCCAGAACGGTAGACAGAATCTCCACATTTCTCTTTATGCTGTTAGACAGTGTTGTTTGATAATCCAAACTGTTTCAGAGCTGTTCTCAAAGAAAAACATTCTCATGGTACATCTGACTAAGTTGATGTAGACGATTAACTCATGTGGAGTTGCATCCAAGGGCTTAATATTCTCCTCCTCAGTGGTAGATTTCGTAACCACCTTCACTGTGCATTTGCCAGACATACTGCCTCGGTATGTTGAATACTGTAGCGACTAAAATCGACCAGTAAGACAAGACTGCCTTCTATATCCTCCACGATGATACTCCTAATTGTGGTGGATCGGACTAAACGGTGAGTCATACATGGAGAGCGAGATGACGACAGTACGTTAGGCGGATAATAAGACACTCAAAGATATGGACTTTGCTGATGTTTAATGTCTAATGTCCCAGGAACTGGAAGAGTCACAGACAAAAGCCAACAAGTTGGCAGAAAAGGCAGGTAACGAAGACTGAACTCCAGATGAACATAGACAAGACGGAGGTGAGGAAGATACCCACCAACTAACAACAACAAGCATCAATCACTATCCACGGAAAACATTTGAAAAGGTGAATTCTTTAAATGATCCTAGAAGCATCGTTTACAGCTACAGACAACAGCATAGATAAGGATATCAAAGGTAGCATCGAAAAGGCCTTCCTTAATTTGAAATTATATGTAGAAATCTACTGTACTCAACGTAAGCAATAAGATTCGAATTTTCAAAACCAATGTTCAGTTAGTTAGTGATTTATATTGTTCAGAGACTTGGTGCATCACGAAATGCATTTCCACTTGGGCACTTACAGACTTTCATCAACAGCTACCTTCACTGGCTGCATTCTGAGAGTCAGATGGCTGGCTAGAAATAGTTAACAACAAGGTACTGTGGAAACTAACTAACTAACCTGTTACTCAACAATTATGACGAAGGAATTCAAGATGGATCGAACACACGTTGAGGATACAAATATATTGGAGATTCTAACAATTCAAGGATGAAGGTCAATGATATTTAGATTTTTATCCTTTTATAAAACAATAAAAATCCCAATTCCATTCGACTAGTGAAGGGTTGATTGGCCGAAATACCCTCATTACATACAATACTTAGAAGAAACAATACCATTTGAATTCACTATCATATATTATTGATTTATTTTTATTTCAATGAAACGCGATATATGTATACATATATAAGAGACATCTACAAAACACAGGCTGAATTATACTGGAATATTATTATGATGTAATCAGAGATTAAGGGCACATGTGCTCTTCTCAGTAAGTATATGAAGAGTACTAGAATGTATATATATAAAATAATTATAGACCAATAACTACTCATATATGCATTAATAACAGTGACAATAGAGAAATTTCATGACTAATTTCATACTTTATTATGTCTTTGAGCACAATGAGCATTTGTCCGGATCGATATATTATTACTATTATGATGACGATGAAGTTTCTTGACTTTCATCCATACACGGTACAACACAAACAGTTGTATTCGCATGATGTACAACATAATCACTTACACTACCCATAATTGTACGCTTGATAGCACCAAGTCCACGACTCCCTATAATCAATAAACGTGCATTATATTTTTCAGCTTTTTGTATAATAGCTGAACCAATATGATCAACAGGTTCATACAAAAATTGATATGTCAAATTATGACTTAAACATTCTGCACTATAATCATTTTCAAGTTCAAGGACACGTTTCATATTATTTTGTACAATATTTGACCATTCATCACTTGGTATACCCATTGGATTTGATAAAGAAATAATTGGTAGAGAAACTGGTTCCACAGCGTGAAATATTGTCACTGCATCATCAGGTCTTTGTATCCATTTTAAATAATATTGAAAAGCTTTTTTTGAATGTTCAGATCCATCGACAGCGATTAATACAGAACGTGAACCAAGTGATGGTACTTTAGAGAATCCTGATGGTCTTCTATCCATGTTGGGAATGATAGAATCAAGCAAAAATGTAATTGAAAAAGTGGGCTTTGTCTATATATCGTATCAATTGACGTCAAATTTAATAGATGTGTCGATTAGTTTTTTTTCTACCAATCAAATTTGAATTGACCTTAAAACAACTAGAATATGATTGGATAATCACTTATTTATCAAATTGTAACCGATTTCCTGATTGGTTAATATGTTTTTAGGGCGGGAATGCATACAATATATATGATGTATCACGTGACACAAAGAAAGTTTACTTAAAACCGGAAATTAATTTTTTTTCTTCCCAATAATTATAAAAATAATTTTGGAAAGATAATCTAATCGATGAAAGCAAAGAAAAATAGCAGTAAAGATTTTATTGCTCTCTGTATATACACACAAACGAAATAAACGAAATATTTTTGTCATTATTGTTGAACGTTATCATCCAATTACATTTTTTATTGAGGATTGAATGCCGAAGGCGAATAGTGATCATACTATTTATAGGAATGTTAGGAATTTAGATTAACTTCGAGGTAGATCTGATCGTAGATCGATATTCATTTGAGCAGTTTAAAGAGGATTGAGGCAATAGTTTATATGAGATAATCCTTAGATTAAGGCAAAAGATAAACCAATTGTTTCCTTGCAGTGATTTGATTAGTAACAGGTTTATTCATGGGTTGACATCAGTTAGAGGACCAGCAGTAAACTACCAGGAGTCCTGGGCAGCTGTTTCTTCTTAGTTTGGGACTGACACTTAAACCGTACTCACAAACCCACCCACTCACCGGGTTCGAACTTAACTCACTCTGCGTAGGAAGATACCTGGAGTTCTTGCATGGGGTCATAATCACTGGAGTCCATGAAGTCAAGTAATAGAAATGTTGGTCGACGATTACTATGACTCGCGGGTGCGCTAAGCAAAGCGAATTAGCATAAAGTTGGGATTCATGAGCCATTGAAGCGGGTCCAGGAGTCTGACTGTCGGTTTGAATACTGTTAGCGTCTACGGGGAACCTAATTTGAACTGTATGGTTCATAATAAATTAATTTAAAAACAGTTGCTTAGATTTCAACGTGCAGCTAAAACGACACAGGTTCGGGAAAAACGAGAAAAGAAGAAAGGGGAGGGAGAAAGATAAGTAACTATCTTTATTTTTTATATTTTTATTTTGATTTCAGCTAGATTCCACACCGAATTTTTGGCACAAGTATGTAGTTTTCAGCATACAATATCGGTAGCCCAAATTTCTCAGGTCGACCATTGACATCAGGTGTACGCCGGCCGGGGATCAAGCCCCGGACCACCTGCAGAGCTGCTGAGATTTCTAACGCTTTTCCCCTAGGAAAAACATCGAAAACGGTTTTGAGACCTATCAATGATAGTTGCAGACCATTGGTTTTTACAACCCCGAGGACCCCATCCAAGCAGTTTACATTTCCGTAAGTCAATGGTTTAAATTTAGTGTCAAAGACTACATTAATTTGTACCCAAGTTTGCTTTGATCACCACTAACTCTTTTCCAATCTGATCGCTCTTATGTCAGCTAATATTATCCTTAGGGAGGAAGGCGGTGGCATGGCATGGACAACGCATATTTTAGCCATCTGAATCATTGTGGCTTCATTGCCTCATTAATTGATTTCTCTTCCTTACATAGTATTCTAGACTCCAAATTAATGAGTTTATAAACGTAATCAGTACTCCATTTCAACATCAGTTCACAATAAAGATTTTTTGTTTATTTCATTTAGTCATATATATCTGTTATAACTCCGTTGCGCATTTGTTATAACTGAATAAAAATGAATAGATCCGTTGCTACTTATTTATGTTTGAGCCTGTTGATTGCTATAACTAGCCAAGTTAAACTTTAAGCACCACTAACTACCAATCAGCGAACGACCTCGAATAGTCCAATGAGGTTCATGCAAGTGAGTTCAAGGTTGTATAGCGCTTGATTCCTTTTAAATGCGTGCTCTAACGAACTTACGCTTGCAGTTCGCGGAGGATAAGACTTTGCAGTATTGCCTAGATTTGGTGTTGCTTGACATAGAGAGAATTTATTCATGTGGAGGTCTTATGAGATTAAAAAGCTTTAGCAGATGGATTGATGGATATGTCCATCGTTGTACAATTTGTTTGAGATGAGTCAGTATTAGAGAAGGTAAGCTGATAATTTTAATATTTCGTGGGAACATTTTTTGCTAGGTCACATTTCTGCCAAACTCAGATTTTGTATATTTGTAACTTCTGGGTTTTAAAACAGCCTGTGAGAGGCGCATCTGCTGAAACCAAAAATAGCCTCCTGTCAACAGTTAAGTGGTACCAGCGCTGCAGAGACATTGCATCATGGAAAATGGAGAGAATTACTTCGTTATTGAGCGGAGAAGGCATCGTCTTGTACGTGGACGAAACTGTGTTACTGAAGAAAAAATACAACTGTGGTCGTGAGCAAACCAAAAATCTTTTGGTGATTGGTTTATATGACACCTCCCACATGGAAAGGATTGGTGGAAAGAATACCAGACAGAAAGTGAACTACTTTGACACCTATTATTATTAGACTTTTAAAACAGGGATCCATAGTACATACTGATGAATGGAAAGGTTATAACTCGCTATCATCTCTTGTATATATTCATTACAGAGTGAACCATTATAGGGATTTTGTTGATCCCATCACGCGAACACACACAAATTCTACAGAAGAATTTCGGGGAAGATTGGAAAATAGGATTAGGACTATAAATGGATGAATATATGTACAGAATGTAGTGTGACTTTTCTGTTGACACTCCTATGCTAAACTGGGAGATGTTTCTGTCACATGTTAGAGAAAAAATCCTTAGTTAAGAGTTTTATGTAGTTTTTATGCTTTTTTTTCATAAATATACGTTTTCCTTAATCAAAACTCCCCCCTTTCGTGTAATTGGTTTGTTGAAGGTCGTCCGCTGATTGGTAGTTAGTGGTGCTTAAAGTTTAACTTTGCCCCACGCAAATATCAAAAGATAAAGCCTGGCCTGTGACTGGAAAATATTGTACTACGTACTATACTATGTAGTTTAAGAAACAACACGTGATATTTCTACATTCTCTTAAGCATAATAAAGTCGACTCAGGACCGTGAGAATGTATTGTTCTTAGTGGATGGGAATATCTATCCTGATTGGCTGGTGATCCGACAAAGACCAAGGTGAGACAAAAAAAGATGAATTGGTTACACGCTAAATCACAATATGCATAAGAAATGATACATCCACATAGTACCTCCAACACATGATAAATCACACGATTCATGAGAAAGGATGATGATATACTATTTTTTGCTGGTTCCTATCACTCCATCCCTGCATAAAAGTGTACGTCTGTCTTTTGGATCTGGTTAGAGGAGTTTTAATTTTGTGACCAAAATTAGTTCGTGGTAGAAATAACTTTTTTGAGAGAGGAAGTAAAAATCCATCGAAGATTTCTCTCATTTTTCCCATCTCCCGCCCCATTGGCTCTAATGAATGAACATTTAGAGGCACTGACGAAGCGTTCACCTTGTCCATAGGATCGAGGTTGATACTGAATTGGGCAAAGTTCAATAATAGTGTTCCAGGAGAGTGAACGCCTCAATGACCTTGAACGCATGCTAGTCGTAGACTGACGGTACGGTTCACGGTTAGGATAAGGTTTGTAATTAGGGTTAGTGTTAAGTCTAGGATTAAGGTCAGGATTAAGGTTAGGTTCACTATTAGGGATAGATTTATCCATATTTTCCTGGTAAGTGGTCATCGATCCTCTTATTGGAAACCATAGTAGTTCAACAGAGGGCTTTTTGGGAAGACTGCATATGAGGATAAGAGAGATAAATGATCCACAAAAACAGCTCATCTTCAATCACCTCAGTGAAGACACATGTACAGAAACTAGTCAAACTTAGCGCAACTGATACTCTTCATTATAAGTGGGAGGTATTTTTAAGTCACGTCAGAGAAAGATACTCTGAGTTAATGTGTTTTCATGCATTTTCTTGTAAATATATGTCAGTTTTGTGCAAAAGTAATTTATTTTTATGATTGATCGGCTCAAGGATACTCGTGCGTCCCCACATATTGGGACACTATTGTTGAACTTTGCCCTGGATTTAACGTTCAACACGGAAAACTAGCTAAAAATTTCGGCTGCAGAGTCGAAGACAGTTGGCTAGATTTTCAGCAACCAAAATTTTCATGGAAGAATGTTAATAATAATAATAATAATCACTTTATTCCACAACAATAACAATTTACAGCATGGAATTTTCAGCGTTTCTTTTACATATTGCAATGGTTTAGCTCTGTTTATAATTATATAAATATATAAAATGTTAAAATATTGATAGTTAATAGGAAAAAATAATAAAAATAAATATAAATAAAAAACCCAACAAAATCATACCATTTCTAGGTCATAGTGAATAATAAATAAATAATATAACAAATAACACTTGCATTAATATGCATCATTACATTTTATAGTTTAGTTACTGATTCAAAAGTTGTAAAAGTTCTTTTCTGATATTTGTCTCTTCACACAATACTCGTGCCAAATATGGAACGGTCGAATTTTTATATTTTGTAGTACGAGCATAAATGTTTATAAAATTTCTTCTGGTCTTACCCGAAGAGATACAAGGAAATAATTGTGAATAAAGAGGATGTTCACTATCAGATAAGATAACTTTAGCTAAGTGTTTACAAGAATTCATATGCCTATTGACAACAGTGTCATTTAGTTCAGTCAAAGGGATAGCACTGACCCTACTTACAGCCCTCAATGTTCTTCGTAGTATTATATGATCTTTCTTGAGTAGCCCAGGGAAGAATAATGGAGAACAATAAAGAATGATGGGCAAAACACATGAATTAATAAATTGTATGATAAGAGATTGAGTTATACCTGAGTGTCTCAACTTCTTTATGTAATAAGTCAGACGGAAAACTTTCTTAGAAACTATAAGAATATGAGACGACCAGCAAAGATTTGACGAGAAACTAATGCCAAGATAAGAAACACTTGACTTACTCTCTATCATGGTACCATCAATATTACAACAATCATGAGATTGAATCAATCCATGCATGACTTTTTCACTTCTCAA